TGGAGGAAAAGTTTATTTAACAAATATATTAGAATAATCCCAAATATTTATTGCAAACAAACTGCAAATGAAGAGAAAATGAATTGAGAAAGTATACAGAAATAGAAAGGGACAAAAGAGAAGGATGTGTCTTCTCACTGGATTTATTTTAACTCAAGTGAGATGAGCTTGAGATTCTGTCAGGATTTATTGATTATAAACAATCTTGACATAAGCTATACAGATTACACCATCTTGATGACAGACACAGAAAGAAAAACGCAGGTACTAGACAAGATAGTAAAAGAAGGTGAAAAGAAATGTCTATCAAGTGCAAAATGACGAAATGTATGATCATTAGCAAGAGAGACAGCCCAAGATGCAAACTACAAATTGGAGCCATCAAAATAAAGTAATTACAGAAATTGAACTATCTGGGATGTGTTATAAAAGACACTAGAATATGCAACAGAAATCCGAAGGTGCATTGGAATAGCAAAAGTTGCCTCCCAGAAAATAAGCAAAATGTCAAGAAATAGGGAAATGATATTGAAAACAAGAATAAGAATAACCATTATATAATACCAATCCTCGTATATGGCAGTGAATGCTGGACAATTTCCTCCTAGATTAGGAGACTTAACAGATATAGTTCTACAAAAGGATGTTGAGAATACCATAGATGAATCATGTGACCAACAAAAAAAAAAAAAAAAAAAATAACACTTGTACTTAGAATCAAAAAGAGTGAGTTGAAATTTCTGGGACATAATGAGGAAAGAGAGCTTGGAGAAATGGACACTCACAGGACATTTAGGGCTAGAGGGAAAACATTGAGTAACATACTTTGTGTACATGGATGGCAGAATACAAAGAGAAAAGGAAAGTTATGGAAGGGACATAGCACAAAAGAAGGTGATGAGATTTCACAATGTATTAGCAATGCAGAGGTAATCTGCTCATCCAGACTTTCCAATGTTTTATCAATATACAAATTAGAAAAAAAGAAAAAGATTCCATCACAAAAAAATATTAGGAAAAAGAACTTAAATTTATCTTATTTAAAAGACATGACAAGGCTATAGCTTTAAATTAGCTACAAGAAAGTTGAAGTATCTCTAGTAGGTGTGTCTCGGTGGCTAAAATAGTAATCTGATAATTGGAAAATCTCATCCCAGTTTATAGCATTCATTGTTAGAAAAATCACAAAAATAAACATTTCTCTAACTGTATTCTGTTTAAACTTTGATCTCTGCAACATTCTACTGTAAACAGAAACTAAAATAAACTTTATTATGAGACACTTTTAATGTAAATTTTGTCAGCTCGTCCTATTTGATAAATCTATACGGTCTTAGTTTTTCCTTGAACTGATTATCTCACAATGTGAGTATGAATAAAAAAAAAAAAAAAAAAAAAGGCAATGATATGAAGTTTATATTGCTGTGAAACAATTACCAATGAATTGGTCTTAAACAAAATTTAAAGACACACATTTTACAGAAACAAACAGCACCAAGTAAAGAAAAACAAAAATCTGCAAAATAAAAAGATAAATGAGCAATGGTACATATCATGCAAGATGTTTCATCAACATACAAAATCTTAGGATATGGATATGGAATGATAGCCGAAGTTCACAACAAATATGCCACCTATAGACAGATGGATTTTGGGATACCTTTAGTTTGTATGTTACAATAAGTGTCACAGAAGCATTGAACAAAAATCTATTTAGCATATAGCAGGATGCACAGAGAAGCTATGAATATAGAGATCAACAAGTCCAAGAGAAAAAGGAATTTTTAATAATACATGAAAGAGAAATAAAAGGAAAAAGAGATCTAGACTACTTCTTAGCAGTACATGCCACAAAATAGTAATGAGAGTTGACCCATTTGTATTGCCAACATAGAAGTGTAAAGGGAAAGGCTCTCAACTTGATAAGGAAGAGTTGATGATGATGATGATGAGAAAAGGAAAAGAAAAAAAAAAAAAAAAAAAAGACAACAACACCAATGTGCTTTAGAAAGACAACATCCAATAGAGTCATTGACAGTGGACTGTGCATCATTAGAAGGACAGACTAGAGCAGCTTACTTGGTCTTTTAGGTTAGATGAACATATAGAATGGCGTGCCAGGAAGTAATTAGTCCACTTATCCTGGAAAACAAGGGTTAATGAAATTTAGACTGTAGTTTAGAGTTGTGTAGGTACCATATGAATGAATGTGTTTTATATATATATATATATATATATATATATATAAATAAATAAATGGAGATACATATTGATGCCTGATTAATTTATATACAAACCTGCACAAGACTCCCAAAACAAATTCAGCAGACAACACTTATAATACAGTACAGATTAATTTACTAAGCAAAAGTGATTTTAATACAAAATCTAATTTAGAATGTGTTTAAAAATTTTTTTATATGAGGTGAAAATGTATAACCAGTTACAGTACATTTAAAAAAAAAGAAAACATAGATAAGAAAAATATATATAACTTTGGAAACAATCTAAAGACTAAAAAAAAATTCTAAAATCAAAAGAAAGTAATGAAATTTTTTTTTTTTTTTTTTAAATCAAAACTGGGGGAAAAATACAGCCATTTCAATTTTAATTCAGAAAAACTTCAAATAATAATTATAAACTTAATGAAAAAGATAGAATTTTTTTTTTTTGTCAACTTAATTTGTGATGAGCTGAATTTTACAAGGAAGAAAAGAGTCCTTTAAAAGGATGCCATCTACTTTAAAGAGAACACCAGAAAAAACATTTTTCAAAGTCTACAATACTACTTGCAATACTTTATGAAAATGATTAAATATGAAATAATAGCCAAACCAAATATTGCCTTATAGTTTATAGAAGAATAAAGACAATATAAGAGGTTTAAAAGTTCATATTAAATAAGCCATAAAATACAGCTTTTCAATTGGGTGAATCAATGGCATTTACACAAGTTCAATGGAATCATTTTTACAGGTAAGCGTGTTGCTTTTTACATTTATATCTTTATCATGTAAGTGATTTTATAGAAAAAGAGAACTGGCTTTTTGCCTAATGACTATACATTAAGTAGATACATTTTTCTAAATGGAGAGAGAAAACTTTATGAACTGATAAATATTTACAATGATGCCAAATGAGGTGGATGAATAGCTTGATTGCAAAAGTGAACACCAATGAGATTTGCTTTTTTTAAATGATTAGCATTCAAATGAATTTAACCTTTTACTGTAGTCGATGCAGCTTTACAACTATATGAGAAGCTTTTCTTTTTAGGATTAACATAAATAAAATAAAATTAAAAAATATTTTAAAAAATATCACAATTTGGGTGTTGTGAAACATTTTATAAGGTTTTTTTTTTTTTTTTTTTACTTAAAGAGTCAATGATTTTTATACCCCAATACCCATCAGTTTTGTACAATTCTATTAACATACCCAATAGGCCTTGAATAATTAGATTTAAGTTTAATTATTGAACAATGAGAAATTTTCTTTGTGTCATGAAAGGAAGACTAATTTGAACACAGATTATATACAAGAATTTTAATTTTTTGAAACTTACAAATACAGAACACAAAATTTGTTTCATATTCTTCACGACAAAAAAAACTATTTGTGTATCTGTAAACAAAAAACGTGTAACAAAAATCACCCATTTTTAGTTTCCAGCAATCTCATGAATTACAAAAAAAAGTTAACATGTTTAGAAAAATAAAAGCAAAGATAAAGTCACTGAACAATGAAAATAGCACAAGAGCTTAAAGATTAAAAACAAAAAGATGCTAATAAAGGTATGATATGTAAAACACATATACGTGAATCCCATAAACACTTGGTTGTAATGATTGACTAGGTAATAAAAAATGAAAAATAGAAAAAAATGAAAAATAGAAGAAAATGATTTTTTCAATCAAATGCAAAGGATTTTTTAAAAACTTATTTTAAAAATTTTGTTTAATAAGAAAATTATCATGAGAAATTTATAACAATCTTAAAATTTTTGTACTTAAATATTTGCTATTTTAATAAATGCATTTTTCTATTGCATCTAATCTACAAATTCATTCTTAATAAAATGAAGAGCTTTATAAGTTCAGTTTTTGTTTCTTTGATATTAGAAACGGTTTCACATTCATGTGACCAGAAAAGAGGCACTTAGACATAGTGTAATGGTTAACAAGCTTGCTTCACTCAATCAATTACGACCAGGTAGTGAGTTCAAGCTTCACTGCGTGCTCGACACAATCAATCTTGTGCAACATCTAAGCTATGCTTAGAAAATCACTTTGGGAACTTCTATGTGGTGTAAATGGTTAGCAAGCTTGCCTTGTTAAATCAATTATGACTGAGTAGCGAGTTTGATCCTTACTGGGTGCCCCATACTTCTGGCCTTCTAACACATCTAAGCTACACATACAAAAATCACCATGTGAACAGAACAAAAATATTTCAAAAGTTTTTTTTGTATTTTACCAATAGAACTGAATCAATGTTATAAATTGTTTTCTTTCTGCAAGTGACACTGCATTTATATTTAGCTTATCAGTAACAACTGTTTAATACAAATGCAGTGATTAATAGCAAAGATACAACACGAGAAACTCCAAGTTAAAATATAAAGGGTTATGTTTGAGTAATTAATAGAAACTTCTACAAAGTACATTAAGATTATGTGTAGAACAACAGAGACAGAGATTTAATGAATATCTATGTATTATTACTATAACAATGACATGTTTAGTAAAATGAAAGAAAATTGTTTAATAATTATCTGCCTAAGGAGCACAGTCAATAACTAATGGATTATTCACACACACATGTATGTATAAAAAGAACAAAAAACCCTAAACTATAATGATTATGGAATAAAAATGTAGAGTAAAAGATTAAAAAGAGGATGAGTAAAACCTTTTAAAATGAGTATAGAGGTAAGAAAAAAAAAACAACTGGACAAGAAGAAAGAGCATCAATTATTGAATGTTATCCTTTATACTTACACTGTGGTCTCTTGAAAAGCTAAAGTTATTATCTTCAGCACTAGGTCCTGGAAGACTGTTCATACTGCTACTACGGCTACTTGTGCTGATTCCACTCTGGTGACTGGCAATGCTGTTTGACTTACTGCTGTCTATCAAAGTGTCATCATCCTAAAATAAAGATGAGGAAACAAAACAAACTTTATTTTTGTATTCTCTTCCTTTAATTTTGGTTACCTTCAAGAGGAGGAATTTTACGCATAACCCACAAGAGGCTTTCTCGATTTGGTAAGGGTGCATGTATGACAGGGTTTGTCAGTTGTCAAAAAAGTAAGAAAATTTGCTTAATTTGAAAAGTTAGCTGATCTTGTGATAGTGATGGAGGGGGGGATCTGAAAAGAAAATGTTCTGCATAACACAAAGCTGAAAAGGAAGAAAAAAAATTACAAAATAGCATTCAAAATAAAAATCATGATTTTTTTTATTTATCTAATGTTAGTCAAAGCAATAGGGTTGAGCTTCTTGAAAATTCAAAGTGTAAAGTATTATTTGCTATAGAATCATAGAAATTGTGCTCTACTTGGAACTTGAAACATCACATTTTTAAAATGCAAACCGACAAAAAAAATCTAATAGATTTAAAAAAACAAAAAAAAACAAACAAAAAAACAACAACAACAAAAAAAAAAAACAAAACAATGGTGTTGCTTATTATACAATTTCTGAAGTTATATTTTCTATCTTTGGAAATTTTTAATTTTAAATCTTATAATGATCAACAATGCCAAGAATTCAAAAATATAAAAAAGAAAATATTAATTCTGAATGCAACTGATGAACTATTTAGCTGCAAACACTGAATTGTTATAAATACATGAATCAAGAAGGAAAGAAAATGCAAAATTATCTTTCAGAATAAGTTGATTGATTCCATTAAGAAAAGCAAATCTGAAACCAAATTTAAGCTACAATGAAGGGTTAAAAAAGAAAAGTTAATACAAGAGATTTAAAAAGAATTAAACAATGGAGTCATTAAAATTCAACAAAGTGAAAACTTAAAAATATCATTGGCAATAAAGTAAAAAATTTCTAGTTAATATAATTACTTGTATGCATCTGGAATTGCAAATCTCAGGATTTATACTTTGAAATACAAAGTTCTGAATATCTTTGAAGTTATAAAAAGATATTGCCATCAGTGAAAACGTCCCTCATTTGAGAATTCATTTTATAACAGTTTTCATATTGCTCAATTCATTCAGTTCATTATGAAAAAGATGTCTAAAGGTTAACAATGAACAATGAAAACAAGAGATGGAAATTCAACACCTCCCAATCTAGAATGTTAGAGATTTGTCACCAAATTGACGACATAAAAAAATACCAAATCAAATTAATGCAAACAATAAAAAAAAAAAAAAAAAAAATGAAATGAGATAAGATTTCAGATTGACTTTTGACTTTTTAGTGAGAAAATCAAAAAGTTTAATGGAACCAAGACATTCTATTCCATGTTTTTTTTATAGGTTACTGCTAAAAACTTTTGCTTAAGCACTATGAGAAAGCTGAACATACATCAATGTGCATTATTTTATTGGCTATGTTATGATGTGTCTACAAAATATTTAATTTTTAACTTTTTATAAATCCTTTGTTTTCATTAAAGAGAAATGTTATTACATACCACACTTGCTTGAAAAAAAAAAAAAAAAAAAAAAAAAAAAAAACAATCATCCAAGTAATAAAACTGGATATGAAAATTGATCTAAAATTTAATATTCTCATCATAAAAACGTTTTGAGGAGCCCATTATAAAAAAAAGTTGTATATTTGAAAATAGATCCTCATTTTAACCAATTTATCAGGTTATTTTGATCTAACTTTTACATTAGAACCAAAAAGAGTACAGAATTCTTATGTAATATCAGTCCTCCTATATGGTAGTGAATGCTGGACAATTGCCTCACAGATGAAGAGACTTGAAGCAACAGAAATATGGTTCTACAGAAGGATTCTGAGAATACCATGAACTGAACATGTGAGCAACAAAGTTTTGGAGAAAATGGAAAGAAAAAGGACACATACTTAACATCAGGAATTGAGAGTTCAAATTTCTAGGGCACATAATGAGAAAAGAAGGCTTGGAAAATTGGATACTCACTGAACAGATTAAAGGCAAGAGGGATAGAGGAAAGTAGCATATAACTTACCTAACACACTTGTATAAATGGATGGCAGAAAATAAATTAGGGGAGATAAAAAAAGACAAAATTCATTAAGAACTATAAAAGACAGGAAATTGTAGAGAGTCATGACTGTCAATTTCCTGAAGAGTCACACCATATAGAAGATTAAGTTAACACAAAAACTGTAAATAAACTAAAATATCCAAAAACTCAGAAAATACCAACTATACCAATCCAAGAAAGACCACTATGAAATCTAAATATGTATTTCAGGATCATCTTTCATTGTAAAAGTACACTTTGCAAACTCTTTAGAAAAGGCCAGAAAAATATGACCAAAAACTGAATAGGTAACATCTCATGCAGTTGTGACAATGACAAGATATAAAGCCCCCCTTAAAATTTTTTTTTTTTTAAAATCAGGCTTTAGTAATACTAAAAAAAAGGCATTATCTGGAAAGAAACAACTGAATATGGTTTAGCAGAGTATGCGTAGAAAGAAAAGTGGGGGTTTTACTATGAAATCAAAATAGAACAATAATTGTGTAAGGTAAAAGCTATAAAAATCACTCAAGAATCAACACTGTTAGCTTTTAATCATCTAAGAGAAAATTTTTTGACTTCCAGTAGCATGGCTGATGCTAACCTCCAGGAGAGCAACACATTGCACAATCCTGCAGTGACATGAATTGGAATGATTATATTGAATTGACTGCTAGCAAGTAAAGTTGGTTCACTGTGTTCTAGGAATATTTCTAGACAGAAGCTCTCTTATAAGTCTGCCATTCATCCATACATCAAATATGACTTCCACATCTGGTTTGGTACTATATATATATATATTTATTAGAGAGAGAGATACATAACAAAATCCAAAGAATCTGCAATATCATGAGTCCTGACATCTCAGTATCAGTTACTTTACTACTATGATAAGTTCTATGCTAGTGGTTTCTTCTTTGACACTTCTAACTTGTGGAACTCTGTTCCAGCTTCTTACTTTCCCATCACCTACGATCTTCAAACACTTAAATGAAACATCAATTATCATCCTCTGCTAGGTGTTGCAAGAAGAGGGGTTCAGGATGAACATCTCCAAAACAGAACCTACAATATAGAATTGAAATGAAAGCACTGATGGCACCTACCCAGAATCCATCATAAATATTCAAGATATGGAATTAGTTACTAAGCATTTCAAAAACCTCAGTGCATGGATAAGATATAACAAATTTAGTATAAAAGATAAAGAAACTGAACATAGAATCGTCTGCGCTAGGGGTAGTTTTGCACAACACTGCAAATTGCTACAAAACCAATACATTTACTGTATAGTGACTTTTTAACCTTTAAAAATCTCTCCCCCCTATGGGGGGTTGTCTTATACTTCAGGTATAAAATGTGAACCTTAAATCCCGTGGTTTATGTTAAGCTTTTTGAGAGTAGGCTAACCCCTACCTTGGTAACTATCAACACAAATATTTTCTGCTAAAACAACTTAATTCATATCATTATAAGTGTAGTGTATTAAAAGTCCTCTTACCTTATATGTAATATGATTGCACAACAACAATAAAACTCATTCGTTAAGAGAGAAATCCAAAATCATTGTCACACACTGTAAACAAAGCAACTGCTAGTCTTGTAGGGTTAATGGTAAGTGTAGTTAATTGACAACATCTCACCTCCCTTTTGCCAATGATGTTGAACAAACAAACAAAAAGAAAAAACAACAAAGAAACAACTGGATGTGCATCTCAACAAGCTGCTTAAAGATCACATTCGAGAAAAGTGCAATGCGTGGATGTTTATCGAGGAAATGTCATTCAGGCTACTGTAATGGCCTACCAAAAATACAGCACCCACTCATGAGGTATTGTAGATTGTGGTAGTTAATTGACAACATCTCCACACCATTTTCTTATTAGAATTTGAGTGAAAAGATAGTATATGCTTACTGAATTCAATACAACAAATTTTAAAATATGATTGGGGGGGGGGGCACAGTTTTGCCCAAGACCTACATTTTAACTTGAAAATTGGGGTGGGTGTCTTATATGCCAGCATACACAAAAAATAAAAATTAAAAAAAAGATAAATAGTCGTTTAAAGATCAGATGAGTTTTGCCTCTGAACCTTTTCTATATCAAGAGTCATCCAATAAGACAAAAAATTCCACTTTCACCTGTTCTCACATTGATACATTTAAGGACATCTCGTATTTCTGTTGTAGTGATATTTTCTAGTGGAGATGAAAAAGAAACTTATCAAGAGATTGGTGATTTAGGGAAGAAGAAGAAAAAAAAATAATTGGTTCTATTTGTAAAACTATCAGAAGTTGATGCTGTTTAAAAATTGTATCTCCCAGATTTTGAATAATATGGAAAATGAAATGTAAGTTGTGGCAATAGTGATAAAAAAAAAAAAAAATTGTTGGTATACATCAACACAAAACAATTCATGCAGCCAAGAGCCAATTTGAAAGTAATATCTATTTTATCATGATGACCCATGATTTCAGGGCTCTTCAGCCGAACTATAAGTCATGCGTTCACGACCAAGGTTAACCACCTAGTTGGAGGACATTGGCTGTGGTCTAACCTCAAGAGGGATGGGCTATGCCAGGTTAAAATGCCCAAGACATGCCACATGAGCACCAAGAAACAATTTGGAGAATCAGGCTCTGGCACACAACAACATATGGATGAGAATGGTGGACAGCCCAGTACATCAGCACCATGACGGCTCCTTCTGGGAATAACGGTGAAAGAATATGTATATATGATGGCAATATCTGGCAGTAAAGAGTGAACTTTGCCTGCCAATAACCCATCATTTATTTTTTGCCTGGTTAAAGAATAGTATTGTGGTAAAATGGCACCTGACATAAAAGTGCATATACAAAGCAAAAGTGTATCACTGAATTATTCTATGTAGAAAGAGAGAAGAAAAACCCAGCATCTATTGACATTCATCAACAGTGAATGTGAGTAGTTAGGCAATGTGCTTTTTTTTTTTTAGTAGTATTAACAGTAATGCGTGTGATAAGCCATGTCCCTGGTGGTGTTGCACAGCTGTTAACCTACAGAATGAACAGTGCCTAAATCAGCTCAAATTATAGAGGTGACTATGTGACAAAAACAGCATTTTATTTTTTTTTGCAGCTGAAAACTTTCTCAATCCAATGATGTTATTGTGCTCCCTGTATCTGTTGTTGCTTCTTCAGAAATAAGAGGCATTACTTTCAGAGCATCCTTTGCATTTTTATTTATCATTATTATTTTTTTTTTTTTTAAATAATGTAGTATAAATATTGGGTTGTCCAAAAAATTAATGCTGATTTTCATCCGTTCAAGTTCCAACACATTAGAACACATCAAATTTATTGACGGACATAATATGCTAACATTTTTGATTAGAGCACACTTCAAACTATCGCTTGAGAAAAAAATTTTTAAATTATTTGTGCCAATTTTGCATCCCTATGAAAATGATTATAAGATGCATTTTAGACACTTGATGCTTTTTTTTTTACCATAAAGACAAAAATGCCTTGCAAGCAACAAAAAAGATGTGTGCTGTGTACAGTGAAGGTGCTTAAGCTGACAGAACTGTATGGAAGTGGTTCGCTAAGTTTAGAATTGGTGACTGTAGCCTTACTGATGAAGAACGCTCAGGCAGACCCCCCACCACCACCACTACAAATGACAACCAAATCAAAACATTGATTGAGAATAACCCACACTACGCAACACTGTAATTGGCAGAAACACTAAATTTATCAAAAATCAACCATCCATCACTTAGTGAAGCTTGGGTACTCAAATTGCTACAATGTTTGGGTACCCCGTGATCTGTGTGAAAAGAATCTTTTGGATTGCATTGGTTATTTACTGTATATACGCAATGAGAATTCACCATTTTCTAAGCAATTTGTGACGGGTGATGAGAAATGGATCATTTACAACAATGTTCACCAAAAAAGATCCTGGGGTAAGTGACATGAGCCAACTTTAGCCACCTCAAAAGCAAGTTTTCATCCTAAGAAAGTCATGCCGTGCATCTGGTGGGATTGAAAAGGAATCCTGTATTATGAGCTTGTGCCAAGTAACTAATCTATTGATTCTAAAAAGTACTGCTTGCAACTTGACGAATTAAAAGGCAGCAATTCAAGAAAAATGCTCAGAATTGGCAAACAGGAAAGGTGTTGTTGTCTATCAGGATAGTGCCTGACTTCACGTTTCTTTGACGAGAAAGGAAAAAAATTGTTGCAGCTTGGTTGAGATGTATTACCCCCACCCACCATATTCACCAGACATTGCTCTTTCAGATTTTCAGTTATTCAGGTCCTTGCAAAATAATCTCAATAGTAAAAATTTAAATTCTTTGGATTGCATAAAATAAAAAAAAAACAAAAAACAAAAAAAAAACACCTTAATGAGTTCTTTGCTGAGAAACCACCAAAATTCTAGGAAGATGGAATCTTTTTAAGATGAAGGAAAAATGGAGAAAAGTTGTGCAACAAAATGGTTCATATTTAATTGAATAAATATTTAATGGCATAATTTTGATTTGTGTTTTAATTTCCCTTAAAATTCGACATGAACTTTCCGAAAAACCCAATTTTACTTTCAGGAAGTTTCAAGGGATCCTAAAAAGATTTGGATAACAAATGTTTTTTTGTAAACTGACATCAAACCTCAAACATTATTTTCTTTTTATATTGCTATCAGAAATAATTGTTCTTACTTTTTATTCCTATAAAAATGTATGTCAGATGTAGTTCAACTAAAGACAAGTAATTAAGGAAATGAGAATTGCATATTTACACTATCAGCAACAAAAAGAAGACATCCCCCACCCCACCATCTGCTCACCAGACCAGTAAACCCTGGAAAAATAAATATACAGACAGATAAACAAATCTGCCATTTTCTTGTTTCAAACTTGTATATCACTCTTCAGGCAAGCTTCAAAATATTTTTTCTGTGCATGAATGAATATGCTGATAAACTACCAGTGGGAATAAGGAACAAGGCTCATTAGAGATGCTGTGCATACAAAAAAAACAAAAAAAAACAAAACATGTCTATGTACATACCCAGTTATCTCGAACACATGAAGAAAAAGATAAGGAGTCCTGCATATTAAAGAGGAAGGTTTCTTTTACAATTAAAAAAAAAACAACCAAATATAAAAATACACAGCCTAAAAGTTAAATATCTGCCATTTTCAAAGGGTTCTAAACAAAATACCCCAAAATAATATTTTGGGATAATAAAATAAATATAAAGGTGGGTGCTGAAAAAATTCCAGGACAAACCAAGAAGCTATACACAGAGAGAGAGAGAAAAAAAAGTTATTCACACAAGTTTTAGGAAGTTGGTTGGATCAAGAACTTTTCAGCAACTTCTTGTATATGTAAGGGGAAGTAAAAACAAACATCACAGTGTATTGTAATAATTCAGGAGGTTGTTTATTTTGTCTTTTTTTTTTTTAATTAAAAGCTTTTTTTTAAAGTAAAATATTCAGTGATACAAAAAAAAAAAAAAAAAAAAACTTCAAACATTAACCCTTTAGCATTCAACACACTCAAACCTGGCCTATAAATATCAGCTCTTTTTTACTGTTTGTGATCATAGTCTCACTGTTTGCATGACTTCCTGCATTATTTGCAATGACATTATATATTATAGCAGAGTATAAATGGCCAGGTTGAACATAGAGAACTGATATTTATGGGTGGGTTGAATGAAAAAAGGGGTTAAATCTCATAAATTAGATGGCAGCCATGTTAGAAACTAATAAATATAAACAAATTTCATCCAATAAGTAGCTTTTAAAGTATCACAAAACCTCTCAAAAGTTATTTGAAATTTGACTTTTAAATATATTCAAATGCATTTAATCAATTATTGTGCATTAGAAATTAATATCTTATTGGTAAGAGACACTGAGAAAGATTTTGTCACTCACTTTTTAATCACAGTTCTATGTACAAATATTCTGCAGGCTTTTCCCCAATTAACAAGTCATGTGCAATATTAGTTGCTATTAGCCAACAACATGCTTAGAGTATAATAAAAATAACTGGCCATTGGGGTTTTCTTCCTTGTGGTACTTGTGTATGCAAATTATTGAATTTGATAAAAGGAATACATTTTTTCAGGTTTGAGTCAGAATTTTAATCTGATTTTTACTTTGGCAAGAAAACTAGAAAATAGCAGAGATATCATGGCTACATGGGCTTACTGCATTCGAGATTATTTTGGAGAAAACAATTTCCTGACCTGTATCTTTTCACAATGACAATTTTTTGATCACATCTTTTGAAAATTATCTTAAAATGCCAATCAATACAAAAAAAAAAAAAAAAAATTCAAAACTTTAAAATTATGTAAAGATAAAAAAAAAACCTTTTCATTTGAAAGATTATCAAAAGATAAATTTCCACCATTATTAATAGTTAACTGTAACATTTTTTATCATTACACAGACCCCATAATACTCATTTTAATTTCACATTTCTTCCAGAAAGCAAGCATACTTTTTGATTCTAAGCTTTCTTTTCAACCGTTTACTTTTTAAACCCGAAAACAATTTAGGTTATCTCCCTTGAGATAAATTTTGGGCTACTACAAAAAAAAAAAAAAATTTATATGCAACAGTATTTCACTGTCATAACATACAGAATTCAGATATGTTGAATAAATTTGTACATTTATATAAGGCAAATAATAAAAGTCTTATAAAACATTGGTTAGAGATTATAATTTCTCACCTGTGAAGAATCATCAGCTGATGGTTCACCTGCTGAGTTCTTGGCTTCATCATCATTAGTTTCAACCATCAGGATCTTTTTCATACGTCTGTACTGAAGATTATCCAATTCACGAACAGCATCTTTTGTGCGATAAATCAAGTCTAAAATCACAGTATTTGCTCTAGGGGTATTGATAAATGAGTGCTAGAAAAGAAAAAAAAAAAAAAAAAGAAAATTTATACTTGCCATACATCTTGACATTTTCTTCCAGTTTAATAAAGCTTTTAAAAGTCAAAGTTTCTACTTTTGTTAAGTAAAATTGCAATTTACTCAAGTTTTTTTTTTTTTCTAAATTTTTTTAATGCATTTTTTACTTTTTTTTTTTTTTTTTAAAAGATCTATGAAAAAGAAAATTATTTTCTGCATAGTCAATTAACAAAATAAAAATAAACGTAGCAAGAAAACTGAAAATATGGTGTTCAAAGCTAACAATTTAAAGGTTACCCAGTTTGTTTAAACAAACAAAATTGAAGTTACAGTGAATTATCTGCCCCTGATAAACATTCTGATAAATTCAAACTTCATTAGATGAAGTGTTGGAAATTTCTTAAGATTCAATTAGAGTTGTGTGTTCTTCAAGTTTATAATTTGTGCAAAAATGTTGTTGGAATACCTTTTGTCCCATAACAGTTGTAACATTTAAATATATATTTTATGTACTAAATGTAACAACTATAAGACAGATGCCACCAGTTTTCTAGTATATCTGTCTGCTAGACAATCCCTTTTGCAGATGCCTGCTTGGGCACATCCATGTTTAGTCAACAACCAGAGTGCCCACTTGCAGATTATAGAGCAGCCCTTACTTACAGTTTCTGGTGAGAGTGCATTATCTGGCATGATCAAAAAAAAAAAAAAAAAAAAAAAAAAAAAGAGATGCAATCAGTGAATAGGAGAATGTGGGTGAGGCAAGACCTCTGTGCATAATTGCATCAATTTTTGCCTGGTAGTTTTATGAAATAGGAAATCTTGCAATATCCTGCAGCAGGATAGTTCCTTTTCTGTTCACCACCACTGGTCAAAATGTTTGTAATTGGTGACCCATCAGTTCCAAATCATAAAGCTGTCACAATATTCTGATGAAATTGCTGTAATGGATTTTTCTATTGGTTTTGCTGATTTTTCTCAAATGTCTTCCAAACTGGTGGACTATGGACTATAATTTAGCTTCTAATGTCAAAGTGTCAGTTTCTCAAGGAGTTTTCTGAGCTGCACTCCATTTTATATTGAAAAGTGATGACTTGTGACCATAATGAGACTGTTCTTAGAAATCCAATTCACTAGAAGCAATTTTTTTTAATACTGCACGATCTGTTCTGAAGATGACCCCCTCCCCCCCACTTAAATAGTGTTGATGCGAATAGATTCAGTAACATGATTGAAAAATGTGAACTCATTGAAAATTTAGACACAAAAATCATGTTTCATCTTTGTTTCAATATCCTTTTTTTCAAAAGGAATGAAAAAAATTAAAAAAAAACACCTAAAAAGGAGACATTTTTAAAATGCTATTTAGATGTACCAACAAAAAGGAATTCTGGGAAAAATCCAACTGCAACACAAAAAACTGTCATTTTGTTTCAATGTAATATTTTAACTTTCTAGACATCATTTTGATTTCCAATCTTTAAAATCTGAACCCGAAAAAAACATTTTCTGCTGATACCATCTTGTTAGTGGTACAAACAAGACACCAGAAGGGAATTCACAAACACAATCAACCAATCATGTCAACAATATCCGTATCATACAAATGAATAATTTTCATTTCTAATTAAAATCAACTATACATATTTGAAAACTGTTAAAATTATACTACACAACATCTAAGTTACTTTGGTAATCTATTTTCTCTGTAGAATTTAAATATTACATTTTTTTATATTATGATTAAAAAATTAACACAATCCATTTAAAAAAAAAAGATGTAAGTGAAGAACAAGGAAATTAAATGCTATAAGGTCATTGTTTTTTTCTTGGAGAACAATCTTTCTGTTGCATAAAATGGATAATAGTTACATTAACTTATTTCTTTGGTTCTTTCCTCCCTAATATCATTTGTGACCAATACATAACGAGGAATTCTTCCAGTACAGGGTTATTTATATTAGGAATAATAAAAAAAAAAAAAGTTATAAAAGTTATTTTATCAAAATACATGACTTATTGAACAAATTCTTAATATATTTTGTAAAAGTTTATAATACTTATTAATGACTATATCTATAAAACTTTTTTTTATAAAAAGACAATTTTCATGATCTTGTCCTTTGCTTTTTGCCACCATTTTCTCAGTACTTGAATGCGTAAAATCAAATGATTTTCCAAGCCAAATGAATGCCTTTATTCTTTGGTAATTTATAACTGTTTTGTCAAGAGAGACCCACTTATCATATTTCTCTTCATAACAGCACCAATTCATGTGGTTTGCTTCAAGTAATAATTCAGCTTGTGAAAAGAAATGGTTAAATTTTTTAAAAGTTCAAAAGGCTCAGCTTTAACATTTGACATTCTGGAGGTGATTTTGTTTACAAAGCAAAAATTTTATCCTGCCACTGCAAGAGACTCAGATGAATGAATGCTACAATGTTTGAATTTTACAGTTGTGTTGTCATACCCTGCTATGGCAACAAAAAATGACCATGACAGAAATAAAGTAGTACAGTAGAGGAGCCTTGTAAAACAATGCAGTGGAAAGGAAAGTCATGAATAATACAGTGTTAAAAGATTAATATAACATATGTTGGGAAGAAAGAGAAAAAAATCTTATTTTTCATTTGTCAAAGATGCTAACTTAAAGTTCACTGTAAGTTGTGAATGACTGTACACTTTAATTGCTAATCTTTCTGAGGTAAGACATTTGATAATGAAGTCAAAGACTGTGTGGCTATTGCTAAAAATTTTTTTTTTTTTTTTTTAAAAAGATAAAAAAAACAAAAAACAAAAAAACAAAACAATATTTGTTTTTACTTTTCTGTGCATCATGTCCAAAATGGGAGCTATTAGATACTTTTACTATATTGGTAAAGATACAATGAACCAGTTTCATCATCAACATCTCAAGTTAGCATTTTGAAATTCAGCATTTCAAATTACTTTAGGCTTTGAGGAAGTAATGAATGAGAATAGTTATTGTTGTATCCTAGGGAAGGTTACTGAATAGAATAATCCAACGAAAGTTGGTAATGAACGATAATACTTAGGACACTAACAACACATATAAGATTTGTCAGCAGTGCGTAGAAGTAGTCAACTGCTAGAAGTGAGTCAAGTGAATTTCACAATGAATCTCCAACTGCAGACCAACATTATGCTACAAAAGTTATTCAGAAAGCCATTTAAAATCAATTTAATATTAAAAATAAATAAATAAATGTGCATTTCAGCTTTAAATATATTTCACATGCTTAAACAGCAAGAAACATTCCAGCAGCTCATCTACAAATAAAGTATGGATATAACAATGTCTAATCAAAAGAAGCATTCCCTTTTTTTCTCCAACTTGAAATTATTATATGCTATGAAGAAAAAAAATGAGTGAGAAAAATTTTGGACAAACTACTTACAAACAATAATAACTGAGCAGAGGGACGATCTGCGGGGCTTTTGGCAAGACAGGAGTCCACAAATTTGTGGAAGTCCTCAGACCAATCTCCACCAGACAGAGTGGGTGAATCATTCTGAGCAATGTGGTACAAGGCACTCATTGCGTTCATGTTGAATAAAGGAGGTTTCCTTTCAGCTGAAATAAAATTAAAAAAAAAAAAAAAAAAAAAAATTTAATACAAGGAGAAATAGAGTGGGAGGGTTTTTTGTAAATAAATAGAAAAGTAAATGGTTATTGCAAATTAAACATGCCACATTTTTTATTTTTCTTTCATATACAATTTCATGGTAAAAGTGTTATCATTGGTTTGAGATGCGATAAACAATCTATGCACTCAAAAAAAGATTAGAAATAAGCTTTGCAAAATCATTAATGTCTACATAGGTGTGTAAAAGGGAGGGGGATATGTTCTTACCCATTTCAATACACGTGATCCCTAAAGACCAAATATCAGCCGTTCCTTCATACTGTCCTTCATCCATGGCCAAAATCACCTCTGGAGCCATCCAGTAAGGTGTGCCAACAAATGAGTTGGCAGGGGACGTCATTGATGCAGAGCCAAAATCAGCTGTAAAAAAATAAAATAAAATAAAATAAAAAGTGTTATTTTTATTTTAAAAAAAAAAAAAAAAAAATTTTTTGAAATATACTCCATATCTACTTATCCAGCTCTCCTGGAAATGAAATAAGTTTGACTTTTCATAAAAGAATGAAAATAAATCAATTTTACAGGAATGTCATCAATCAATATTATATGCTCTGAAAGCAACTAGAGGCTTTTTTTTTTTTTTTTTTTTAAACGGTCAAAATAAATAAAAATTGGAAACATTTTTCTGATTGTCTGAATTAATGTAGGTATTATTTGAACTTTCATCTTAATATTTCAGTAGTTTCCAAATTAATAATAGTCTTGAAATACAGCTTCAGAATAACTTTTTTTTATTCCAGAAAAACAACTTTAATCACCCACTCTGAAAGCCAATTATCCTTTAAAGTTGTTAGTAGCATAAAACCAGCATTAAAACGTTTAGAAAATATTTGTTTTGATCCTTTCAATGTTTAATCATTTGTTTTTAATGCAAATAGGTTGTAGCAAAAACTAAAAAAGTTAAAATATTAAAGTTTTAAAAATGAATACAAATTAGGTGATTTAACCAAAATTTTGTGATTTTTAATAACAAAATTTTGGTTAAATCACCTTCCATAATTTTACACAAACTTTCTTATTAATTAATTTTCATGCTCAGAGTAACTTATACTTTAAGAACTGTTCTACACATTCATTTTCTAGACAAAGAATATTAGTCCATTCCAATTATTCACAATCAAAACATTTTTAGTCTTTATAAAAAAAGAAAAAATATAATTTACAATTACTTGCCTTGGATTGTGAGTAAGTTTTCCATATTTATTTATCATTCTTTTTAGTTTTTTGTATTTTCAAATTAGTTTATGATAAGCAGAAAACAAATGTTATTTGCTAATGGTTCATTCGAGTTTTTAACAAAAAAAATTCTTTAACACAAAATTAGCTCTTACAATTAAATACTGAATTTTCTTTTAACATTTAGATAAACACAAATATTTAAATTTAAGTCCTTCAACATTCATTTAACTTTAATTCACCAATTTAAAAAGATGCACTTCCATATTGTGTATGTTTCATTCATCAGAAGTGCGCCATTGTTGGCAAGAACTAATAATTTTTAAGAAATTAGTTACTTTTAAGATAAATATAATTTCTATTTAAAAAAACTAACATCCAATTATCATCCAAAAACCTAACCAGTTGTCACAAACTAATGTTCTATCATCACCAGAACAATGAGATGTTAATCTTGTGACCGTTTTAAACCATTTGTCTGTTGAAAAAGTACACTAACATGGTATAACTAGAAACTCCCTTTGTTTTACCATAAGCCTTCCAGTATACAAACATCTAAGCATTTCTTCTTTTACACTGAAAAGGTCTTCATTCAAGAAGAAAAATATCTGAAATGAAAGAGAAATCTCATCAAGAATTTGGATCCTCTTGTTTTATATCTTCGTGATACCGATTTACCTGAGCTAGTAGATCAACTAAACAAAGTTGTACACACAATAGAATTTACATACAAAATGGAAGATCACAATTCCTTACCTTTCTTAGATATCAAGCTAAACCACATAAACAGTTTAAAAATCAGTGTCCACTGGAAATCAACCAACAAAAATGACCTAATAAATTTCTATTTTCATCATAACAAAATGAAATCAGTCATAATGATCAGATTTTACTTAAGAGCAATCAGAATATGCAGCCCACATTATTTACACAAAGTGAAGAAATAAATTGAAAACGTTTTCAAATTTCTCCAGTACTCTAATTATTTTATATTCAATGCAAAAAGGCCCATAAAATTAAAAAAAAAAAAAAAAAAAAAAAAAAAAAAGTGGGGGCATTCCTGTAAAACCCAGTGGATCAAAAAATATATTATCCTCCCAACTAGCTATCACATCTACAATCAAAAAGAATCTATCTAAACTCAGCATGAAATTGTTTCTACTACATCCAAAACAATAAAAGACTTAGTCAATACTAAACAAAACAATAAGCTAAAATCTGAAGGAGGAATTTACTCCATCGCCTGTGATAATTGTCACAAAAAAAAAAAAAAAAAAAAAATACAATAGAAATCTCAAGGAATCTAAATAAAAAAAATTATATGAACACAAAAGGGAAATTTTAGAAAACAATACATCAAATGCATTGGTTGCTCATTGCAACAACATTGACCATAATTTTGACATAAAATATGCTACTCTGTTCATCGGAGAAAACAATTCACTATGATGTAATGTCTAGAGAGTGCTTTGATCCTAAGGTCATCTACAGTAAATTTGCACGTTGGCTCTTACAACATTGTATTATTCCTGTCATATCATCTAATATCATCGTCGGATACCTACTAACAAAAGTGATGGAAAGAAAAAAAGAATAAGTCTAAATGAATTCGGTTATTTTATAATATATATATATAAAAAACATACACACAAAAAAAAATTCTAAAATTCCCAGCAGCCCTCATTCATGCACATGTGCAATCATATCAGCATAAATTTAGCTGAATGAAATTCTGAAGGATGAAACATGCCACAAGTAAACTTTTTCCATTGTCATACAATTTCGCACAATATTGTTCTTGAGATATATGAAATATGAATTTTAAAAAAAAAAAAAAAAAAAAAAAAAAAAAATTAATAAACATTTCTGCTTACCCAATTTCACCAAGCCATTTTCTCTGAGTAGAATGTTCCCAGCTTTGATATCTCTGTGAATCTTGCCCTGACTATGGAGATATTGGATTCCTTCCAGTGCATCCTTGCAGATGGCTGCAATCTCAACTTCTTTCAAAGGTTTTTTGTGCACTATAGATAAAACAGGTGTTGATTATAAATCAATAAACCTCTTGACAGATACTTAAAGGAACATTTAAGAATAGTCAAATGACACTACTAACCAGTGTTTTATTCTTGAGTAGCTATTGGGGATAAATATTTTCTCAATTACTGTTTCTTAATTAGCTTTAAATTATTTATAGAAAAAAAATGTAGTATTAAAACAATGCCAGAAAGGGGTGGGGAGTTCCTTTAAGAGGAAGAAAGAAATAAAGAGGAAGAAAGAAATAAAGAGGAAGAAAGAGATAAAGAGGAAGAAAGAGATAAAGAGGAAGAAAGAGATAAAGAGGAAGAAAGATGCTACTTGAGTATGTCAATTTCCTCAACACATGATGAAATTATATTCCCCAACCTGACCCTGACTGTTGGCTTCAGTTTAGGACAGAGTTTCTCCAGTAGAATCAATGACTGCCTGTTCATGGCCAAAGCAAGTCAGAGTACATCAACTGTGGTTTAACCTGGAGAGGGATGGGACCCATCAAGTCTATTACACACAAGGAATAACTACAGAGAAGGAGGAGTTGATCAGGTGTTGTTCTGCACAGCAACCATATGACCACACCTGGTCATGGGACTGATGAGGAAATTTTTTAACAATCTCTTTCCTTGTCAATGCACCTAACCCCATACTTCTGTATTAATCACATAAAATATTTATTCCAAGTAAAAGTTTTGGATAAAAATTCAGCTAATAATTGTGTCAAGTAATGGACTTATTGACTCTCTCTTATATTAAAAGAGAGGTGATCAGGAACATTCAATTTCTTTGGCAAACTTCAATACTCAACAAACAGAATTTAAATAAAAATGCAGGAACAATTATTTACAATATAAATAAACTCAGCAAGCAATTTATTTTGGATAAATAAAAGTATTCGTTATATAAGCTATTTTATGATCCGATATAAATCCTGAAGGAAATGGCAGGTAAATTCTTCAAAATTTGTTTGAAATTAAATTTAAACATAGCAGATCAAGAGAAAAGTTCAGAAAGGAAAAAGAAAAAAAAAAACTTACCTTCTATTATATCAGCTGCAGAACCAAGACAATATTCCATAACCAGCTTGAAAAGAAAGAAAAGATATATTTGAATGACAGTAAAGAGAAAAGCATAGCAAATACACCCAACATCAAATTGGTACCACCCCTGTCCCATAAAAGGGGTTATATTTGCATACACATCTTATACAAGAAATTTAACAATTATTATAGGACAGCAGTAACAATATTTGAATTGCTATTTATATGTAGACTATTGTCCTTATCTTTATTATTGTCATAATGTTTTAGCCATTGGGCCCTCCTGTCTTCAAAATTCATCTGGAGGAAACAATGGCTAAAACATTGAGATAACAACAAAAAAGTCCACATGTAAAAAAAATGTAAGAAAACAAATTTAACTTCTTCACCTGTTCTCTGTGCTTGGAAAACACATGATCATGCAACCTAAGCCATCAAGGTGGTAGAAGTGCCAGATAGAGACCACTTCTCTCTTCAAGCTAGTTTTGAAGACAGAGGTCCTTCTCCTAGACTGGTTGTCTTATCAAGGCTAAAGAGCCTGGTCTGCTCTGTGATTTACTGCATAGCTAGAAGAAGATGGTATCATGTTTTTTCCAACAGCATTAGTATGAAGTGAATGAAACAGATTGGGTCAGAATTTGAACTCTGCATACTGATTCCACACTTTACACTAATAACCATTATGCTACTTGAACATAATTTCAAAGCCTAATAAGGGAAAACTGACAACACCTGGGTGCTCTTCACCAACAAGATTCTTCATTTCACTGTAGGAAATTTAATTTTTCATAAAATTAACATCATCTTCATTTGTCAATTGCAATGTATCTTCTGGCAATATCTATTTTTACAGAAAATACAATAATCACTCATTATCATGATAGTAACAGAAACAAAAAATAATTTCTAAATAAATAACATAGAATTTTTTTTTTTAATTCTTTTAAAATTTGTCCAGCATATATTAAGAACAATTTATCTTAATTTTATAAAAATAATTTGTGTGTGTGTGTGTGTATACATAAATGAAAATAAAATAAAACCTATTGATAGATGTAAAATTTTATATGTCAATGGTGAACAGAATGTGTGTGAAAAAGTTCAGATATTTCAAGCAATAATTATTATCATCAAAAACATAAAAAAGTTCAGGATGCTTAAATATTTACTCAAAGTTTTGCAATGCTTTGTTCTTCAGGACCCAAATAATAATCAAAAAACTTCAAGTTTAGCTTTGATAAACATTATGAACTTTTAATACTTTTGAGAAAAAGAGTGTGTGTTTACATAAATAAAACTTAGGAATTACTTCCCTTGAATAAACAAATACAATTTAAACTTGACAGAAAATATACTTAGAATGCATGCTTTAAACGTTTGTGGTCACATTTTACAGTATAAATAAGGATTGCTGGCCACCACCATCAATTTGTGAAGCCTGCCAACTTATTCAAAATTCCAACATTAGAAACTACAGTAATACTGGCAAATGTTACAAATAAATCAATCTATTCCACCTCTACTTTTAAATGTTAATGTTTTTTTTAAGTCATTTTACAGAATATATACGAAATGCATATTATGCAAAATGATTTTTTCAAAATGTATTTTTTAAGATTTAAAAGTATTGATGCAATACAATCATCTGTAGTATTTGTGCATGAAAAACAACCCAAAGGAGTATATGATAATAGTCATCAGTATGGAAAACAAAACTGACAAAGCTCAATTTTCAACCAAGACTGACTATCAATTTTGAAAGCATCTTTCATTTTCATCTTGAAATTATCTCCTCTGACATTATTTATACCATTTGAATATTGTAGATTTTACAAGTGACTGGCTGCAGAGAGTATGAATATGTTGTTTGAATAAATTTTCAGACTGAAGTAGATGCCAGTTTATGATAAGAGTTGAGTATATCCCCATGTGCTTCCTTTTACTCAATAACTTGTGGAAAGTTCTTGCAGTCATGCCACTGAGAAGAGACTGGATCAGAGAACATTTGGTCAAACCTCTCTTCTATCACTACCTTCATACCAGATACACCATTGTCTGTCAGTATTGTACTTTTGTGGGTGAGGAAGGAGAGGGTGGCATAAACTATTTTCTAAAATTAACCAAATTTTCCTAACCAATCATTAATAGATTTTACCAAACTTTTTTTTTTTTTTTTAATAAAAATGAATTACAATTATTAATAACAGATCTCATAACATTTGAAATACACCATGAACATTAATATGCTTCATTCGCCCATCTCTATAAAAGCCTGTATGACTAAAGAAATGATTAATAGAAAAAGTCTGGAATGTAATACCAAATTTAATAGTGACACCAGCAAGTCTTTGAGAATAATTTGGTTCTAAGGATCTAGAAGAAATCAATAAAAGGTAACCAATTTATTTTAACAAGGTCCATGTGTCAAGTGACAGTGCCAACATTCATTTGAGAAAGGATTTCAAATCAGTTATTGTATAATGGCCACAGTTCATTTAAGGTTTAATCATCAAAGAGCATTCATGAGTAACACTCGTTTTGTTTTTATTTGATATTTAGGGGAGGAAAAAAATCCCATATACATCAAGAAAAATAAACTTGCCTGAATCCCCACTGGAAAAAAATGTCTACTCCAATATATGAAGAAAATCCACAGTTGAAAAATGACCTTCTCTATTTTCTTCCTCATAATGTCAAATGAGAAGAAAAAAAAAGTTAACTTTACAAGAGATGGCCACATTAAGCTCCAGTATCAATGCATTTGTGAGTTCACAAGCAACTGGCTTCTTATTTTTCTATTTCCTGAACATGTAGCTCCAATCAATATACAGACATAGTTGCCAAGGGAGAGCAGATTTTACAGAAGAAAATATCTTATACTACAAAGTTATAAAGCTATCTTTAAGAACAAACCTAAGACTGTCATATTATGCTATATAAGTTATTATATCTATTAAGCAAATAAAAATCTATTATCTGTTGATAAATGTTTCTCAGTCTTTTGAGGATTGTAACCACATGGAAATGGTTAAATTCATAATTTGCTAAAATGTTTAGCAAACTGATCTCACAGTCTATTAAGACTGTGGGATCAGTTAGATTAAGCATACAACAATTGTGGACTTGTACCAGACTAACTCAAATACTTACAATTAACCTAATAGTTTTCTGAACCAAAACAATATTTATAAAGAATTTTTAATTTGGAAAATAAATTCTTAATAACAAGATTTTGTATTAAAATAAAACTTTGGTAAACAATTATGTGAAAAAAGTTGGAGATGTAATAAAAGCTAACAGTAATTAGTCAATCTTACATATTCTAACAAGTATCAAATTAACTAGTAAACTCAGCATTACTAGCAGCTTATCCCATTTATCATAGATGAAGTGCAATAAAATCCGTTTTTCCCCTCTTGTACATCTGTCAGGCCTATCAAGGGTTGCACTGATTAATTGACCGATAATCAATAATTTAATTATTCTCAATAAAGATAAACAAAAAAAAAATATTTAATTTAAAATAATATAATTTTAATGCCTACAAAACTAAACTGCTCTCTGAATTGTCTGAGTGAACCGTTCTTACCTTCAATCAGCATGGCTGATGCTAACATCCAGGAGAGGGACTCATTGTGCCTTCTCAGACTAACATTTTCTGTTAACATGAAGTGAAAAGAGTACATTAAATCTATTAAGTCTAGTCTGAAGCAAGGAATGTTGGTTCATTGTCATGCTAGACAATTTTTCTCAGCAAAATCTGACATATTTATAAGTCTATCATTCTTGTTTTGAATATTGTTGCTACATCTGGTCTGGTGATCCTGCCATATATTTAGAGATTCTTGATAAAAATACACAAAAAAAGAATCTGCAATATTATTGGTCTTGACCTGGCATGTCAACTTCAGTAACTTTCCAACCACTGTAACATAGCTTCCCTTTCACTTTTCTATAAATAATTTCATGGTAACTCTTCAGATGAACTTTCCTCTTTGGTAATTTACGAATTTAAGCGCAGTATTAGATTGGCAGTAAGGTCTAATTTTACAGTTGAAATTGCTAAATGTAACTAACTTCTTTGCTAACAGTCTATCACACTTCTCACTTGTAGAACTCTTTCAGCTTCTTGTTTCCTAATCAACTTTGATCCCCCCCAAAATTTAAATGCAATGTCAATCATCATCCTCTGTCTTCTTAATACTTGTTCTTTTATTGTTCTTTTTCTCTAATAATATACAGGGTGTCCATAATGTTCGTGTGCACTTTTGAAAAATTATAACTTTATTTGTATTTGCAATAGAAATAATTTGTAAAAAGGATTAGAAAGAAGTAAATCTATATTTTTAAGGTTTTATTGAAATTTTATTTAAGTTTCCATGTGTCCTCCATCATTAGCAATACAAAGGGTAATACGCTGGGAAAAAGAAAATATTTTTTTACTCATCTAAAAATTGTTGCAAATTTTGTGGTAAAGAATTATTCAATAACTATACTTAAAACTAGGTACATTAAACTTTATAACATTTTTTACAGATTATTTCTATCGCAAATACAAATAAAGTTATAATTTTTTTAAAATGCCCAGGAACTTTATGGACACCCTGTATTTCTCTCATCTTCTCTAACACCCAGTAACATTTTGTGTCTTAGTGGCTTTATTGCCTTGTTAGAGATTAAATCCCTGTGCCTTAATAATTAAGTATGACTGCATATAAAAACCAACTAATTGATAAATATTGACATAGATAATTTTCACCCAGTCAATCACTTCAGCCCTATTATCATTGATAAAGAATATCAGACTAAAATCAAATTATTTTTGACAAATGTAAAGCCAACCTCAGTCACAACCCAAGGAAAATACTACACAATTCCCATCCTTTACAAAAAATAAAAAACTTTATACAATGTTAATAGCCAAAGTATACCTGGGATGTCCACACCAACTTAATTTTATATGTAAAATTACTAAATAATCAAACACTGAATTGTTTATAATGAATTACTTAAGAGAATTCAGCTCAAGAAAAAGTGTACTTC